AAAATTGCCAAAATTGAAAAATTCGCCAAATTTTTGGCCTCTGCGGCCGCATGGTGTAAATCCATGCGGTCGCATGGTTCAACTGAAATTGCACTTTTGGTTTTCGGTATGCATTTGTGCGGCCATATGTGATTTTGCCTGTGCAGCCGCATGGTGTTGTCTTCAGCCTCCGCTTTCGTCGCTTAATAACAAATTGATCCAAGTTGATTCGGCATTCGACCCGAACATGAAAGTTGCTCCATTTTGAGTCCCGAATATGATTCCATCAATGGTTTCTTGAACGAGCAATCTCATCGCTTGTTTTACTTGCTTTGCCCTTGATCGCATCGTTGGCCCGTCATCGACTGTCAACGGATCTCGTCTCGCACTCGCCTTCGTCGGGCTCGATTCCTGGATCATATCATCCACTCCCTCTTCAAAAGGATTCATCCTCGAATCTGGACTTGCATCTAACAGAGAGAGATCAAATACATTAAAAGTAGCCGAAACATTTTACTCACCTGGAAGGTCCAACTTGTAAGTATTGTCGTTTATCTTTTCAATCACTTGAAATGGACCATCGCCCCTCGGTTGCAACTTGGGCTTCCTTTGCTCTGGAAACTGCTCTTTCCTAAGGTGTACCTAAACCCAATCTCCTGGCTCGAATGTCACGAGCTTCCTACCTTTGTTCGCCTGCGATGCAACCAACTTACTTTTGTTTTCAATTTGCGCTTTTATCTTTTCATGGAGTGACTTAATCAATTTCGCCTTCTTTTTGCCATCTAAACTACCACGTTCATTCACAGGTAAATGAATTAAATTCAAAGGAGTTAGTGAATTAAAACCATATACAATTTTAAATGGAGAATATGACGTAGTAGAGTGAACAACTTGATTGTATGCAAATTCAACAAATGGTAGACACTCCTCCCAACTCTTCAAATTTTTATTGATTATTGTGCGTAACAATTGTGTCATAGTCCTATTCACTACCTCGGTTTGCCCATCCGTTTGTGGGTGACAAGTCGTGGAAAATAGTTACTTAGTACCTAACTCATCCCACAAAACTCTCCAAAAGCGACTCAAAAATTTGACATCCCGATCCGACACGATACTTCTAGGAACCCCATGTAAACGCACAATCTCTTTAAAGAATAAGTCAGCAATGTTCGTGGCATCGTCAATTTTGTAACATGGTATAAAATGTGTCATTTTGCTGAACCTATCTACAACCACAAAAATAGAATTCCGACCTCTCTTAATCCTAGGTAAACCCAAAACAAAGTTCATCGAGATATCAACCCAAGGCTCACTAGGTGTAGGTAAAGATGTATACAAACATTGTGGTAAAACCTTAGATTTAGCCTTTTTACAACCTATGCATCGGCTACAAATTCGCTCAACATCACTTTTCATCTTAGGATAATAAAAATGCTCCTTCAATACATCTAAAGTCTTTTGAACCCCAAAGTGTCTCATCAATCCACCACTATGTGCCTCCCTTACTAACAACTCCCGAATATAACAATTAGGAACACATAACCTATTTTCCCGAAATAAATACCCCTCATGCCTAAAGAACCTATCAACCGCCCCTTTTATGCATGACAAATAAATATCCGAAAATTCAACATCTTTTTCATACAATTCCTTAATATGTTCAAACACAAGTAGTTTAGAATCAAGAGTAGGTAGCAATACATACCTTCGCGACAACGCATCCGCCACTACATTTTCCTTACCTTGTTTATACCAAATGACGTATGGAAAGGTCTCAATGAATTACATCCACCGTGCATGCCTCTTATTCAATTTACCTTGTCCCCGCAAGTGCTTTAGTGACTCGTGATCGGTGTGTATTATGAACTCCTTCGGCTATAGATAATGTTGCCAAGTCTCCAAAACTCGAACAAGTGCATAAAGTTCTTTGTCATATGTAGGATAATTTAAAGCAGCTCCACAATAATTTAAAGCAGCTCCACAATAGTGTATTCCATCGCCCCCTTTCCTGTAAAGTAGTTATACCTTCTTAACACCATTTCGAACACAACTGGTACATTCCAAAATCACCGTTACTCACGTGCATTGTTGATTATAGTGAATACTCCTCCGCTGTCCATGATTTTTTCCCGTCTTGGATTTTCACATAAAAACTTGACTTTTTATCTTGTTTGATTAATTTCATTATTTCCTTTATCTTGGATTTTCATTATGATTCAGATTCGCTAAGTGCGTTTCAATTTATTAGGATTCTAAAATTTGTACTGATGGAAAAATAATATGGAGAAACAAAATATCGACTTAAAAAACCACGCTTCTTTTCAATATAGAAGAAGTGTTGGCATTTTCAAAAAAGAATTGTTAATAATGATATGCAATTTATACCAAAAAGAATATGTTGTCTATATACAAGTATTTGACAAAGGCCGAGTCGTATCAAAATGAAGGATCTCGTTGCAAAGGAATACATATTTGGTCCAAAATTTATAAAACGAAAATAAAGAAGAAAGAAGAAAATTACCCAAATTACTGAAAATAAAATATTTAATTAATTTACAAAGTTTTGTTTTAGTGGATGATTTTATAATTGCTCTTTTAATTCCAAAAGAAAAGAAACAAAAAATATTATATCGAAAGATTAAAAATAGAATTTTATTTTATTAATTTTTTTAAGGAAAAAAATCTCAAAATGGAGGAAGTCCATACAGAGATAAGAGAATTAGGGTTGATAAATAGTTGAAAAGGTTTGGTTCCACTTGGAAGAAAACTTTGTTTCATATTTTATTTAATTCTAATATAAGTTACAAAATTATCAAAATTAAGGGGAGGGGATGCCAATTTTTAATAGAAACATTGATAAGTGAGTTAAAACGAGTCAATTAGTTGATTATTCTGGATTTTGAAATCAAAATTCAAATAAATAAATTTTTATCATCTTTAATCCAATAATTAGTTTATAAAGTTCTAATACTATTCAAATTAATGGATTGTGGTTATTTGTATATTATTTATGAATATCTTTTTATTCCGTATGTCGTAAAGAGTGAAAATTTAGAACTCAAATTCTACAAAACGTTTATGAAAATTTTACGTGTAAAATGTCTTAAATGAATTTGACCCGCAAGCGAAAGAGCCTGTAGAGGATCAAAGTTTTACTTGGAGGGTCAAAGTTTTACTTGTAAAAAAAGAAAAGAAGAAGATCAAATTTCAAGTAAATAAAATTGTTCCTTAATGAATGCCTTCTCTCCGGGGATAGCTCATACTTGTGGTGCAACATTTTGTGGGGGATATATACCCATTTTGCCACCTCGTCCCATTCTTTTCGCCACCTTGTGAAAATTTCTGAAAGAGAGTGTGAATGTTCTTCACCCGAATTGAAATAGGGACCTAAATAAGTGTGAGTATTCATTATACTCCGTGTTCCATCATTTTGCATTGAATAATGCTATTCACAGTCACTCAGTGCTGTAGTTGCTTTACGTAACGTCCTGCGTAACGATTTGTGGTTTGATGTATTAATATAATAATTTTTTCTTGTCTCATATATCAATCACTAATTACCACATATATACCGCTTAGGGTGACTGTAATAATGAGTGATTGCAAGTAGCATTATTCTTTTACATTTTAAAAAAATGAATCATATAGTACAACGTGAATCCTTCAAAATGATATCTAGAAATGACCCTAATCTACCAACTGAAAACGAGCCGCAAAGCATAATGTCGAACACATGAACTTTAAAAGGTTAACTAATGAATGAAGAATGCTACTTGGCATCATGCAAAGATCCAACACCCCGTATTACATGGCGTTCACGTAGAAAGGCTGAAAACAGCCTTGGATCTACCTCATGCTTGGTGGATCCCCATTTCAAAATGAAACTCCTATCTTTACTAGGAGTGGCAATGGATAGAGCTAACTCGCCCTTAGAAACACTAGCTTGACTCAATTCTATGGATGAGTTAAGCTCTATTTATATGTGGAAATCTAGGCTCGATTTGGCCATTCGGGTCACGGAACTCATGGGCCAAGGTAGCCATGAGCACAAGACTTATCCCATTTTTTCAAATTAATAAAAAAATTTGAAATCCTCATCTTTTTGGGGCTTAATAGCTACTTTTAACGTAGTCAAAGTTAAAATTACACATGGACAAGATATTATGTGTACAATTTCACATGGACAAGATATTATGTGTACAATTTTTATTTTATTTTTTTTTCTAAAGGGAAAATTAAAGAAACTTAAAATAAGCAACACGTACAAATTATAAGGCCATATCCTTCATCTATTAATCTGTCAACTATATCGGTTTATCTTGGATCCAAAACTGTGTGTCTTTTCAGACCTTTAAATGAATTGACCTCTCTATGCAAGAGGCAATATGTGAAATGTATCTTAAAGAAATTCTAAGAGTCACATAGAGGGCATCTTTGAACCAATTATGCCTCTAATTATTAATCCAGATCAGACTTTTTAGTCTGATTATTGAATTGAACAAATTGATCGAGATATTTCATAAAAGCGAACTCTTGAAGTTGATAAAGAACTATTTCAGAAATTTTCCGGTTACCATGAACGTAGCCAATTTGTTCAAGTCAATAATAGGCTTAAAATTTTAGTTCTTGTAAAAGTCCGATCTTATTGTCAAAGGAAAAAAAATCATATTAAATAAGTCAAAATCAGTTTAATGAGGTCATTGCTTAAATTTTGCTTTACTTTTACGTAAAATTTTAAATTTATGAATAGATAGGATGAGTACAAAGCGATTAAGCAATTATTTTATATATTCACAAGTTCACCTCATTCCCCACTCATAAGAAGATAACATTTTGTTAAGTTTTAAAATGATAAAGTAATGATATTTAGCATAATTGATGCTTAGCACCGATCTATGCAACATTATAGGTTAGTGCTGCATTGTTCAAGATATGAAAACACTTCAATTTTATTAAACAATATAGTTATGACCCATTGCCACATAAACTTTGCTAAACGACATTACTCAACAAGATATCATAATAACTAGAAAAGGTCATCATATTTGAAGTTGCATATATACGTAGCACAAATATGTTCCCGTTCGTCAGTAACATATATTAATCATATGAAGATTTCGCAATATACCGAGAATCGAAGCTTTGATGGATAATTATTAGGGGAATAAAAAAAAATAATCACTTTTCATTCTGTACATCAATATGTAAATCATCATGTAGAAATAGCATTATTCTAATTTTTTTAGGGTAAAGAGAATTTTTTATGGACATTTTGAGAAGAATAATGCTATTCACGGAGTAATTATTGTCACTTGAATTGAAAATCATCTAGACTTTAGATGAATCACATTAATTTTCAGAAAAAGCAATGGTGTGATGAAGGGCGATGTTCTTAGTTTATGTTTGGCAAAGCTTAAAATTTTAATTTATTGCAAATTTCAGATATTTTCTTTGAGGTTTTTGACAATTTCAGAAATCTTCTTAAAAATTACACAAACTAACTTTACCTTCTAGTTTAGAATAATGTATAATTTCCTTGACCACTTTTATGTCACACAATATAAATAATAGTGATTATGCTTAAACTTTTTTTGATGGTAGGCTAAAACCACCTTCTACGTAAATAGCTAAATCTTCTGTTTTTATTACTTTTATTTTCATATTTATAATATATTTAAATAATAACAAAAGTCGGAGGATTTGAGGGTCTTGGTAGTAATGGCAATGGATCGAGCCGACTTTAACCTACGAGCTCAGCTCGGACTCGTGGCGAGCAGAGCTCTAGCTCGGCTCGTTGCTCAGGGTGAGCTCGGCTCGGCCCAGAGCTCGTGAGCTTGTGATTTTTTTAATTTTTTTTTTTTGGTAAATTGCTCGTTTTGGACATTTTTTTTTAAAAAAAAAAAAATTAATATTTTTTTACGAACCAGCCGCTCGTGGGCTCGTGGAATTGAAGCCCTGCTCAGCAAATGACAAGCCCAAGCCTCCCACGAGCCGGGTTTTGACGAGCCGCTTGGCCCGTTTGACATCCCTAGGTCTTGGACTCCAAATCCCCTTTATTCCACCAGAACACCAGTTTAGATGACATTGTTAAAATATTAGCATTTACAATCATGCATGCAATTAAACAAGAAGATTTAGCCCCGTGATTTACCTCCCTCACAAAGTTCTAGGGGCGGGACGGTGGGAACCCTCAAGGTTGGGGTTCAACCTTTTTTTTTTTTTTTTTTAAACAAGAAGATTTAGAATGATTCTATTTTTAGAAACAATTTTTAAAATCTTTAAATCAAATAATTGATAACCAGCTCTGGAACTCATTAATTAAAAAAAAGAAAAGTTATATTTACACAAATTTTAATTATATTAAAAGTTCTTGTATTTTTTACTTATTCTCACACTTCCATTAATTAACATATTTTGTTTTTATTAAAATAATAAAGCAAATATTGGTTGTACTTTGTATTTGTTTTTTTGCTTATTTAGAAATGAGGGACTATTAATTCTTTTACACTGTCTTAACAAAATTTTTGGACACAAACAGTCATCAAAGACAAGATTTGTTGATGAAGAAAAAATTGGAAATTACAGAATGCAATTAACATAAATATGATAATAAGTAGATGTTAGAAACATGTAAAGCAACTATAATATGGGTAAACTTCTAACAAAAAATGAGGTGTCAATGCAAAGAAAAAAATATGTCATCTATAAAATGAAATTGAGCCACTACACAAGGACTTGATGTACAAATAAATGTGCAAATAGTCAGGGTAATTGGCGCATTTAGTCCCTAGATGTTGTCCCTCATGTCTAATTGGTCCCTTATGGTTCATTTTTGGTGATGAGATCCCATACCTATCACTTCCTTGCATAACCAGTCCTTATGGATTCCAGGTTTCCCACAATTCCAATATTCACAACATTCTCGTGTTTGCTTGTAAAGGCCATTTGTTTGTTTGTTTCTCTCATCCTCGCCTTGTTCGATCTCCCGCAACTTCCCTACATTTGTTTACATTGCTAGAGCTAAAGGATGTTACACGGGGTTTGGCAAGATCTATTGACCTATAAGCGAAGCAACGGTAGGAGAGTATATTCTGAGATAGGCATCTTTATCATAGTAGTGCAATTAATTTAGCAGGTCTTTGCTACTTAATCAAAAAGGACATCCCAACTGTGCATGAGAAAATCCGATAGCTACTGACCTCTAAACGAAAACATTCGTGTTTGAATATCCACCACATTTACCAAAATAGTAGCAAAATTATTTACTGAAATGGCTGGAATCCATCCAGCATGACTGATTATGGAGGAAAGTGATAGGTTAGAACCTCAGCACCATAAATAAAACGTTAGAGGACCATTTTGCACAGGAAGAACAACGTTGAGGACTAAATGCGTCAATTATCCGCAATAGTCACGTTGAGAGAGAGAGAGTCGATGGAATATCCCACAAAAAGTATTCGTATCCGTTAAACTTGGAACTCTTAATGACAATACTGCGTTACCAAATAAGTATCTTTCTATGGATTATTATCTCTGCTTCAAGGTTAGTTCTTATAAAATAATTATACTGCAGTCCTTTGTGCTTGAAGGATATGATCATCTCAGAATATTTACTCATTTGCAATTTGATTTTTTTTTTCATATTTTTAAACGGTGGTGGAATTGCATTTGGGAAGTTTCTAATACAGTATAGTTTTAAGATTTTCATTCCTAGGGATTGATTTTTACTGGGCTTTTTATTATTCACCTGAATTAAACTCTATTGGCATATGAGTGTGTGCATTATTCGAATATATATGATTGTTCTGTACTATTATTGGCATATGATTCTGGTTTTTTGTGCATGGAGATACATTCTTTTGAAGAAAATTAGGTTACTAATGTAGGAGATCACACAGGAAATATCTGTATTTTCTTGAAATAATTATTAGTTCTCAAGTCAAGAAATTTTCCTTGTGGTTATTTAATTTATTTGGTAAGTTTAGTATATAGATGTTAATTTGTTTGATGTTGAAACCAAGTGAAATTTCTTTCCCAAATTTCGCAATCCTATTCTCTTTTCTTTCTTTTCCTGCTGAAGCTTGAGCATTTGTTGCCTGAGAGTTGGACAAATATCTGAAATCGATGTTTGCCTTTTTTAATTTGAACACAATTAAAGTCATATATATGATCTAACATTTTTGAAAACTTTTTATCTAAGATTTCACTTGGTAGAACAATGCCAGTGTTTGAAAATCGGTTGCTGATGTTAAGAGATTGACCGTCAAATTTAGGACCTATAGCTAGCACAAAATCTTCATCAAGGTGCATAACTATTGCAATTGGTTGAAGGGGCCAGGCCTTATTTATTTTTGCATTGCTTTTCTTAAATATCGGAAATGAAAAATTATGGGACAAATTATGTCAAGAAACATGATTTTATTTCAATTGTCATCTTTGTTATCTAAATCAATCAGCCCTCACCTTCCCCCTTCATAATGTTATTTTTTTCGTATCGTATTAGTTTTTGGAGAAGTGATTAATGTTCAAATAGAACAGGATAATAATTTAGTGAAATTCAAGCAATTGTAATTATTTATCTACTTGTATGATGATGGTTATCATCATAAAAAATAACAAATGCCTGGTAGAATATGAGAAATGTAGAGAAACTGTACATCTCTTTGTTAACAAACCTAAACCATTCTACAGCATCCATTTCAGTTGCAACTTCTTTATAGGACATTGTATTCTCTGAGGTTTTTCAGAAAGGTGTCTCCAATTATAGACGAGTCTTTGACAAAAATGGCTGGGTATCCAATTGGAGCTTCCACCCAAGCCTCAGAACCTGGTTTAGAATATAGTTTTCCTGTCCAAACATGCTTCCATGAATAGTTTTCTCCTTTTGGAAAATAAGCCCTAACCACTTCCTTGCCTTTATCTAGAACAGGCACTACTAGGATCTCTGTGCCTACTAGAAATTGCTGATACGTTAATGTATGCACGTATTCATCTTCTGGATAGTGGAGGAATAGATGGCGACAAACAGGTAGGCCCTTTTCAGAGGCCTCCTGTACAATAAACATTAACGGAGATGGTTAGATTTCAGTTCCAATTGCTTCAAGTTTTTACCACCAAGACTGAAATTACCTTAACTAGTTGGATCCTGTAAAACTTCCAAGCTTTGTATATCTTGGCAAAGCGTGCGAAATGCGATAATGTTCTGTGGTTGGAGTAGAACTGGCTGTTGCTAGTTGGTTTGTTTCCCTGATTGAAATGTCAGAAATTAGCAAACAATTGTGAAATCTCATGGCACTAAAAAGCAAAGAATAATAAAATTAAAAAAGCAGAGGTACTTCTATGAACAATGATGATAAGATGCCTATTTATTTGTTAAGTACGATTAGATTTGAAGTTGAATTCCCACTTTACCCTTTGAACAACAACATATACAATATGCACTGAAACGAGCTCCTTGCATGGTGATATTAGAATAGATGGTTAATTTTTTTTTTACACATTTTACAGGGCAATCTTTCGACTTACTTCATGTGTCCGGAAGACAACGGAGAATGCATTCAGCTCCATCCACCGCAAGAGTATTTCTTCGCTCCTTTGATACTTAAAAAATGGTAAGTTCACAGAACAGTAGCCTCCAATATCACTATGATTCAAAGCATACCCTGAAAGTCCACTGCTGAGCAATCCTACCACTGCACTCTTTATCCCATCATTAGCTTGCCAGCTTACCATTTGATCACCTTCCCAAAATAGGGTCGCCCATTTTGGACTATTCCTGAAACCAGCCCTCATGAAGAATACCAGGCCGTCTTCTGGATCTTCCTTCTCCTTACCCACGAGACTACTTTTCCATTCTTCTACAAATTCCCTGTTTATTTTTGCCCATAGCTCTGGGTATCTATTATGGGCCGTAATTGGATCTTCACCTATGAAATTGTAAATCAACTTGGTTACACAATGGATTTGAATGTTTCGACTAGAGTTTCAGTTATAAGTATGTCGTAGTTGCATTTTTCTCAAGATGTAACAATTGTACACATTACTATGGGAAGCAAACAGGGGAAATTTATGAAGAGGAAAAAAAGTTGTGATATGTAATTGAATTATTTTTTAGTTTTTCTATTTTTCTTTTTAACCTAGAGACTGAAGTGAGGTGACAACATAAGTTTGACTTCAACCTGAATAAAGGCAGGCATCAACTGGCAGGCCTTCACCGAAATCAGCCATCCATCCCCGGACTCCATCATCCACCATTTCTTGCAAAATCTGTTTGAACCAACTTTCTGTCTTTGGATGGGTCAGATCCAGCATTCCAACATCAAAAGCTGTATTAGGAACCATATATGGGTCTCCATTTTTCTCCTTCACTAAGATGTCTAACTTTGTCGCCTCCTCAAATAGGTTTCTTTTTGCATTAGGCTTTTCGTCCATCTGCATTTATGAGTCGGAGGACCGTCATCAGACATATTATACCTGATATTAATTATAATTACTAATGGTAGAGTTGCATACCAGAGCTAAACAAGGATTACAATATGTCATCACTTTAATATCCCGTGCACCTAGATCTTTGATTAATTGCCGCCATCCTGAGTACCTATTTGAATCCACTTCCCAGTTCCACCAAAGTTGTGATCCAATAACTATTTTCCTCTGCCCTACCCAGTCCTGCGTAATGAGCATAGGATGAAATTTTTACCCATGATCCATTAATCATTTCCAGTATTCATGATCATATGTCATCCCCCAACTTCAAAGTAAAAATAGAATGTAAAATGACATATAGTAAATACATATATTCTAGGTTCAAGTATATTAAAGAAATCTTAATGAAATAATTCCATTTCTATATTAACTTATAGGTTATTGTTCAACCTGCAACCAAAATGCCGATACTGGAGTTTCTTGAGCCTGCAGCTGCTTCCACATATGACGTACTGTTTCAGTGCCACCTTGCAATCCCACCACAGCACCTGATATTATCCAATCGGGAAGTTTTTGAGGTCTCCCAATGGTTTCTGTGAAGTGTTCAATAAGCGCAGTAGGTGAGTTCCCATGCAGTATTCTACCTTCAACCAAATCTCCATGCGTCTACAAGAATTTCCAATAGTTGCAGATAATAAGAGAGTGAAAATTTTGGTTCTTGAGTAAACCTTATCTGAATGGAAACTCAATATACAGGAAATATGTTTTTATCTCCTTTCTCTGGGATCCAAGGACTCTTGTTCTGTTTCATGTTTTCCTCGTTTGTACCGACTTTGAAAATTAGATTAATGGAGTGAAGGAGTATCTTTATTCTTACTCATCAAGGTTTTGAACTACACACTCTTTTAACACCTCCAGGCATCATACCATATTAATAGACATACTAAGGTAGCCATCGTGGAGTTTTGGATTATGCTTATAATCCCAAATGCCAACTGCTACTTATGATGACCCTATAATGTATTGACGAAGATTTAGATACCTGTATCTGGACTCTGTCATCTTTCGTCAGATCAAATACTGAATAGTTGTATCCTTCAAGGTAAAGTGACCTCATTCTTGATGTCATATAAAAAGGTGAAGGAGCATAAGTTGTACTTTCATCACCCCCTGCCCTGCATTTAGACAAAAGCTTATGTTAAAGTGGTGATTGATTTGATCTTCAACTATTAAAGATATTTTATATATAGTTTACCTGTAGCTAACCAAATTCGCTGCAAATGTGATAGGTTGATCACCTCTCCCTATGCCTTGCTCTTGAACAAATATTGGCACCCTCTTCCCCTTGAAGTCCATATGTGAAAACTGCTCACCAAAACCATAGAATTTTTCGCTTTTTTCACTAGAATATGTAATGCAGATCCTATTAAAATCAGTAACACCTTCATTCTTCATTATTACGTTTTCCTCTTCTACTGGTGAAACTGTTATAATTCCTCTCTTCCTCGAAAAATATCTACTACATCCAACTCGAAGTCTCCGAATTCGACCAAATTTTGAAATGAAGGCTCTGTAACCATAAGTTCTTGGAGAAAGCTTCTGCCGATGTTCCACTTTTGGCTTTGCTAGTCTCGCTTGGAATCCAATTTGACTTTTGTTTTTCTGATCAAACAGCATCCAGTACTTAGCATAAGTGGACGGCTGTTTTTCTATAAATTCAGAACTTTGTATACTGTTTTTCCTTTTCTTCACACAGAAAATCTTCCCAGTAATCAGAAGAGCTGGTAACTGTATTCCTTTGTTCTGTTTTTCTTGATCCAGTCCATTGCTAAAAGATGTAAAATCTTGATTATTTGCACGCAAAACGATATCAGATGTATCAATGGTCCTGATATTATCAATAGTTTGATGATTGCATATCAAGTGGATATCTCTGTCTTTGATAACAAATGATCCTCTACTCTCTTCAATCTCTGTTTCAGCCACTGCTGCAGAAACAAAGGATCGTCCTGGGACGGTCGACCACATGGATCTTGAAGGCTGAGACTTATGGAAAATACAGAGAGACCCGCCATTTTTGGATGACCAATTCGACTGAAAATCCTTTCCAATGTCATAGATCTGTTCTGAAGGGACTGACTGAAAATCGAATAGAAGGAATACAAGGGAGAGTTTTCGGGTTTGAAGGGAAAGGGTTGTTGAGGTGTTTATGGTGTTTCTTTGTTATTTTCAGGGATGCCATATGGGATTATGAGAATTGAAATGAATAGACTATCAGCTATATATACAGATTCAGGGGCATAACATTTCTGTATTTCTTTTTCAAGATTCTTTTAGTTTTTGAGATGGAGGACAGGTTATCCTTTCGGACATATTAATGTGGGAAACCGATGGTTAAAATGTGGAGATGGAAATATGTGCATGAATTTACCATTCTATCCTTATTTATTGACATTTATGGTAATCCACTAGTTTTCCAATTTTGACCAATTAGAAAGAAAGATTCAGGACTTTGACATTTCGATTCTGGGTTCTGAACAAATTTTGAATTGGTAATATGAAACTAGAAGATGAGAATAGAATGAAGGGGGTCACTTTATCGACTCTAAATTCATTGTGTATAGAACTTAATTTATTACTTGTTTATCTTTATATGAGTTTACGTGTAAAAGTTTTATTATCTTTCAAATTGCAATTATTAGAAATCGAGATAGAGAGTAGAGGAATAATTTATAGTCGTAGTTGTGTACAAGAAAAAAAAATGACAACTAGAGTTAGCATGGCCCATTCTTCTCTGGTAGGATAGAATTAGGTGGGAGGGCACCTAGACGATTTTCTTACAAGAGTTTCGTTTGGCCCCCATTTTGTGGAAATAAAAAGGAGTGGAATAGTGTTTTTTTCAAAACTGAGTGGTTAAAAAAAAAAGGAAAATTTTTCGATTTACGTGTAATATTATTTTATGGAAGATTTTGTGATCTAAAATAGAAGTGAGAGAAATGGAATGGAACGGAATGAAAATTAATAGGGTCTCAAATGTGTACTTCAAAAAATAAAAGGTGGTTAAAAAAGAATAAAAAGTTTTCGATTTACGTGTAATATTATTTTATGGAAGATTTTGTGATCTAAAATAGAAGTGAGAAAAATGAAAAGCGAATGGAATGAAAATTAATGGGGTCTCAAACGTGTGCTTCAAAAAATAAAAAATAAAAAGGCTGCTAAAACTGTGCATCAAGACGTGAATCAGGGTGCGTTCACTTAAATCAGTAGCATTTTATATAGAACAAAAGCAAAACTCAAATTCCTTTACAAAATCACTAAATTGTATTTTGTATTCATTTGAAATTGAGGGTGTGTTTGATTGTAAGAATAGAATTTACATGGAAAGAAAATAAATTCTAAGTAATTGAATTGTCTAAAAATTATTTACATAGAAATTATCAATTGAATGTGCTTGATTGATTTTTTTAACCTACAAAATGTTATACTTGTCCATTTTTTATTGATAAGTAGATGGGAGAGAAATGGAATAGATGAGAGAGAAAGAGAGAGTGGATTACTTGAAAAGTAAAAACATATTCCTAAAGAAAAAAAGATTTCTTTTTTTTTTTCCAAATAAAATATGGTCACGTAAACAAAAGTAAGAAAAAGTTTTTCATGAAAAAAATATCAATCAAACAGTACAAAAGTAAGAATTGAATGGAAAAAGACATTTTCCATAAAAAAAAATATTAGCAATCAAAAGCAATTTAAATGTATTAGATAGTATAGCATTCAATTGAATGGATTTTGGAAATTAAATTAAAAAACTTCATGTTATTAAAACATGATACACTGGATAAGATTGGAAAAAGTGACGGTTTGGTTTAGCTAAAACATTTATAAAAAATTTATATTAAAGTTAACAATTAATTTTAACAATACATTTCATAAAATTCACGATTTTTATCAACTTTACATTTTATCAATTTTGATCAAGATCTACTCAATCAGGGTCATAAACGTGTCATTAGTTTCTAAATTATGGAAGTGTCTTATAATTCTTGATTTAAAATAGAAACATTTTGCTTGAACCAATGTTTTATAAGTAATAAAATTTTAGTTAAGTGGTACAAATCTTTGTCACCTTAGGCATGTAACGTGGTCAATTAAATGACCTGTTTTGAGCACATGATTACTTCCATTGTGAACTTCTTTATATTTCCGGGAACTGGGCAATATTCAGAAATGGAGCTTCTTGTTATGTACATAGTCGTATATACAACCAGATTCGTATAATTACAAACCTCTTTAATTTGTTCAAATTTTCAGTCTATTTGTTCGTTTCTTGATTAGAATAGTTCCATAGTTCAAAAGTTAAATGGACACTATTTAGTTTGTATGTATTGTCATGTTGAATCGGAAAAAGTTTCAATGTACCTGTCAAACAAACATTCAAGATTACGTTATGTAAATTATATCTAAATTGTGATTTAAATATTCAAAGTGATCGAAAATCTCTCCAATGGAAAGATGTAAAGGAAATGCATTTTACATTTTTTGACAGAAAATGTAAAAAGATATAAATTTACCTTTTTTTTTTTTTTTTTTTTTTTCTTTTTTTTTTTTTTTTTATACGAGAAGCAAAAAGTGAATTTAAATTAAGTTCAGACGTCAAATCCTTATCTCAAATGTATTCGCATGTAAGCAGATAATATCCAGTTATTTGATGACTTCAAAATTTGAAGCCTCCTTAGATGGGCTGTCTTGGAAATTCTAATCATCTCAAGATCCACAAGTTAGAACTTGAAGCATGTCCAGTTCATGAATAAATATATAATATCAGGACTTCATAGCCAATGAATTAGAGCCATAGTAGTCACTGCCAAGGGCGGACCCATATGAGATCATGTGGGGTCAAATGACCTCACAAAATTTTGCCCCTTTCCTTTTTTTTTTTTTTACACAATCTACTTTAATGCACTCGTTGGAATGCCAAATGAAATCAAAATATTGCATTCTTAATACCATTTCGAAGTGCTCATGGCTTAGTTTTTCACTCATTAATGGTATGCGAAGTGGTCAACTATAACAGAAGTTATGACATGTTAAAGTAGGTCGCTTGAAACTAGTATTTTGAGAATTTCGATAATATCCTAACTTTAAAAATTCGTCTGCGATCATATGCTATCTGAATTCACAAATCGTCTATGTCATGTGAAAGTTTGTTTCGAAAACTACAACGTTTTCATATCGAATTGTTCAAACGAATATCGAAAATAGTTAAATATGTATCAAACGTATGTCTCAAAAAAGACGTCTAACTCATTTTTTCTTTTAAAAAATTCAATTAATTATTATTTTTGCACGATAAATTTTTCAATATAATTTATATCGTTTCATTTGGAAGTTTTACATGAAATATGACGTAAATTTTTTAGAGTCGTTACGGATTAAATACAATTTGAATTACTTTCGAATTGTATTTGCTTTAAATTTGAATCTCATTTCCCTCCTGAACTAAACTTGAATTTTATTTCAATTCATTTAATTTCTATATTCAATTTAATTTACTCAATGTTAGCTCAGTATTTACTAGTGAAATGATAAATAAAACTATATAAGTAGTAAAATTTATTTAATAATATTAATAACGATGTAATTATACGATGTTTTCAAAGTATCAAAATATATATTAACTTATTTTCATTGATATTATGTTGTTTATTAAAAAATTATTTTTAAAATTTTGACCCCAATATACTAAAGCTCTGGGTCCGCCCTTGGTCACTGCATAGATGGAGTTCAAGGATTGGTGAATGGTGCCTTCATTTTGGCCTTGTTTCGTTAAGGATTGTTGTTTCCACAACTAAGATCAAGATTCAAAGGATTGGTATCTCCGTCTCTTCACTCTCCCTTTAAAAAACTTTGTAAGCGCGGCATAGAAAATGCAACTGCAGGTTCACACTGAAAAAGGTGTCACGAAAACTTTACTTGAAACCAAAGTGACGATGTTGGGCTAGCGGTCAAGAGGTTTATCATATCTCGGACATGGCTACTCGAGTTTGTTTAATGGTAGGGACGGATCCAGGATTGGATCCAAGACTTGGCTACAAAATTTCAAACCGTACGTGAAAAAAAAAATTTTACATATAAAAAACTGATTTTTTTAACAAAAAAAAATACCTTAAAAAAAAGTTCTTGAGCCTGAATGGGAGGGGGGGTACAGCCTAGTCCAACCCCCGTAAATCCGTCTCTGTCTAATGTTATAATAATGAAATCTCTAACACTGAGGATATTTGGTAAAGATGATTAAATATCATTGAATTATAATAAAGAAAAGTAAAACCTATGATAGTTGGCCAGGAACCTCTAATGTTATAATAATGAAATCTCTAGCACTGAGGATATTTGGTAAAGATAATTAAATATCATTGAATTATAATAAAGAAAAGTAAAACCTGTGATAGTTGGCAAGGAACCTCTGAGAATACACGAAAAAGTTGACTTGGAAAGCATTAAATCATAATAAATATAGAAAAAATAGATGCTATAACAGTTGACACACAGTCGCTGAAGATATTGGGTAAAAATTCAACGGTCACTTATATTTTTTAAATTATTTTCTAGTTGTCATTGTTAGCCTTAAAATTTGATTTATAGTAACATACTTGTTGCGACCTCGTTTGTGATGTTATAGAAATCGTTAGTTAAAAATTAAAAAATTAAAAAATTAAAAAATTAAAAATTAAAAATTAAAAATTAAAAATTAAAAATTAAAAATTAAAAATTAAAAATTAAAAAATTAAAAATGAAAAATTAAAAATGAAAAATGAAAAATGAAAAATAAAAAATGAAAAATGAAAAATTCTATTACCGTAGTACTGAAACTCGGTACGCCTGTAGGGAACGTTTGAAATGATGCATTGAATTATTTTTAGGGAAAATTGTAGTAGAAGTACCAAACCTTTCGTTTATTAGCAGACTTTGCTCAAACCTTTGATTTGTGCCACCGTAAGTACCAAACCTTTAAAAAATATGCAGCTCAAGTCCAAAATGACGGTTTCCGTTTGTTTGACCTCAAAATCCGTCAGTTGACCCCAAAATCCGTCAGTTGACCACAAAAATTAAAAATTTAATAATTTGACCACATAAGACAAGGCTAAAATG